ATAGTCATCCAAAATTAGCTACCTGGCAACTTCTATTAGTTTAGACTTTAGAATAACTTTCATATACCTATTCTCATTATTTATTAGGCTATTATGCAGATTAAAAGTGTTATCATTGATAATATTCATTATATTAATTTCATCAAGATAATATTAGTACTTTGTTTCACTAAAATTATATGCAAGAAATTCAAATTATATATTTGTAAAATATATTTGTTTCATTAATATTTTTCTTGTGATAATTTTTGGTTGCATTGGTATAAATACAATCAGAATTTTTATATCCTAATTATTCCAATAAAATGCAGGTTATACAGATCATATAAAGGATTATTTTACAGGTTAAGATCTGTATATGATAATCTGTATATTTGGGGCTAAAATCCTGAATATTTTTCTTTTTCTTTTGGCTACCTTTTTCTATGGTTACCAAACTTTTCCATCTTTATTTATGTATAACTATTTTATAATTTGTCTAGCTTTCTCATGTTATTGTTTAAAAAAAAATCCTTAATTTTTTGGAGAGCCTCTAAAACAAAACATGTAATGTTCATATATGTACATTACACATGTTCCAAAGGTTGTCATAGCCAGGGGTTGTAGTGGGGACAAGCTACCAATGTCTATAAAATACCTGACATTGCACACAACTCAAATAGCTTTTGACAAACCAAAGAAGGAGCAAGGCAGACCTCTGGTGTCTTAAGAAACAGATGCAATATCCCCTTTCTGAAATTTGTGCCTTTTCCTCATTTTATCCTCTGCATATTATTCTATCTAATAACTGATACTTACCAATGCTAGTTTGTCTGCAGGAAATAACAAATGTTTTATTCTTGGCTTTCCTACACATACATTATAAGAAAGAAATACTATTTCTGACATTTCTGACAAGGTTATTCTTTTATTTCTGATCTGTTCTGCTTACTTAACAACTATCAAATAAGAAATGGCCTGAGTGTTGTGATAAGTTATGTGCCATGTGGGATACAGGCTTAGGCGATCATGGATATTTTGATACATGACTGACAAGGCAGATTTTTCCCTGCAGTAGGTTGCCATTTCTTTCTGTGATTGACCAGTTGCCTTCCAAGACTATAGTCTGTCCTGCTTATTAACCCATAGCTGGTAGGGAAGAAGAGGAGTCATACCTTTCCCAAAGATGAGATTTGATTATAGTGGTGAAGGCTTCGTGCAGGAACATCCACACTTTTTGAAAGGCCAAATGCAGAGACCTGGTGCACTAAGTGCCACAAGTTCCCCAAATGACACTCCGCAGGTTTTGAATTCAGAGTTGTCCTTCTCCTAGACCAGTTGCCATCCAAGGCTATAGAACCTAGTCTGTCTTGATATTTACCCATAGCTGGAGGGAGAAGAAGAGGATTCACACCTTTCCCAAGGGTATTAGCACATAAGTGAATGTAATGGATTTGACTGGAATTCAAACTCGGGTCTCTGATTCCTCAATCTGAGCTACTAACCATAACTCCAAAACAGAAACAATAATATAAAAATAAGTTAGTAAAAAATTTCAGACAATTTATGACTATTACAACTATTATAATTTGTTTAAACAAATGTCATAGAGAAAGTTGGATGATAAAGAATATAGACATATGACTAAATCTGAATAGTAATGGTTATTGGAAGTGTTTTAACAGAGGATGGAAAGAGCAACTCTGAAATCCAAAGTCTCATTGGGATAGCGAAATATGCATTCCAAAAGCTAAGCAAAGTATTAAGAAACAGTAAAATTTTGTTAGAAACAAAGAAGAAAGTACTGAACTGTTACATAATATAAGTCTTCCTATATGACAGTAAATGCTGGACAATCTCATCACAGATGAAAAAGAAACTAGAAGCAACAAAAATGTGGTTCTACATGAGGATGCTGAGAATACCATTGCCTGAACATATGTGAAACAACAAAGTTTTAAAGAAAATGGAAAAAAAGTTCCCTTATACTTAACAACAGAAAGCAATAGTTGAAATTTCTAGGGTACCTTATGAGGAAAGAGGACTTGGAAAATTTGATACTCCCAGGACAGATTGAAGACAAGAGGGATAGAGGAAAACAACTTATAACCTACCTAGCAAATGTAGTGAAAATTGGAACAAAAATAATCACCCACCTGATTGGAAATGGCATCATGTATGTACTGCGTGCAAAGTTTATTTTTTTTGACTGGAAAAAACATGGCTGCCCCCGGCAAGCTTACATTGCGAATGGTCATGTATCCTCACGCAGGCAGTCACGTAAAACCACGGAAAGTGAATTCACGCATGCAAATGAAGGAGGGCAGAAAAGGACATAAAAACGCCGAACACTCGTCACTCAAGGAGAAAAAAAGAATATTCTGCAACGTTGAAGAAGAATCGTGTAAAGGAGAAAGCAGAGGCGCAGGAAGAGATTATTGAGTAAATTGAGGGAGTTTATCAGTCGTTGCTGTTTTACACCAGGTGCACCAAGTGAATAGTGTGTTTGTTCAGGAAGATTGTTAGTTGTTGCGGATTCGCACCCGGTACAAATAAATATCCGGCAAATGGATAGCAGAACAGGGTTTAGAAAAAATAACAAAAAGACAAAATTTATTAAGAGCTACAAAAGACAGAAAACTGTGGAGGGCCATGATCGCCAACATCCTCAAGGGACGTGGAACATAGAAGAAGAGTGGTTATGACAATATTAGCCATTCCCTTATAAGGTGACATTCATTGTCCAAGCAACCAGTATAGGTTGAAATTTATAAAATCTTTCTCTTGACACAATTTTTCAGGAAAATGGGCTTCTTAAGTCCAGTAGCTGTTATTGCTCTTTCCAGTACTTATTGGGGTTTCCTTTCTTACCTTTTATTTGAAGTAGTGTGGAATATCAACATCTTGATTACATCATTATTTTCTCTTCAAGTTACATTTGCTATCCATTTTAAGCATAGTGGAGTAATGGATAGCAGTTTGGATTGAGGAATCAGAGAACCAAGTTTGAATTCCAGTCGAATCCATTGCATTCACTTACGTGCTTGTAAATCCTCCTCTTCTCCCCCACCTCTGCTATAGGTAAATAGCAGGACAGACTGGGTTCTATAGTCTTGGATGGCAACTGGTCTACCACAGAAAGAAATGGCAACCTACTGCAGAAAAAAATTTACCTAAGCATGTATCACATATGGCAAATAACTGACTGACTATCTGCATTTACTTGTGTTCCATAATATTTAATGTTGAAAGACAATAAGAAAGAATGAGTGCACATTCACAAAGAACATATTTTATTGCCTGAGTAAACTAAAGAATATTGATTGTTTATATTTGATTATTTAAGCCTTTACTTGGTTGGGGATAAGTAAATATTGATCATTTTGTATATCTTATCCTTGTTGTAGATACTTGATCAGGCATATTTGTGGGGTTTTTTTCCACACCTACAGAGCAAACTTCTGATTGATATTGTAACTGTGCTGTTTTTCAAGTACTTTCCAACAGAGCTACACATCGGAATCATCTCCACTGGTATTATCAAGACGTCACTTCCCCAGTAAATTAAACCATGATGAGAACCTCAATACACTAAACATTTGACCATATCTATGTATTATATAGGAATAAAGTGTCACTGCTAACACTTGAGTTTGAACATAGATCGCCAGTGAGCAAACACAGGTGATCTCATTATTGAATTAAGTGGATCACATGACCATGAGTGAAGCACATAAGTAGAAAGTAGCATGACATCTAAATGTTCACCATTTCTATTCTATCCTCTATTACTATACAGATTGCTATTTCTACTCTAGCCTCTGTTACTATATGGACCACTATTCTCTACTCTATTCACTATACTATTTCTCTGTTTGGATTACTATTCAAGTGAGTACTATTTCTCTGTTTGGATTACTATTCAAGTGAGTACTATCAAGTAAGTGTGATTGGTCCTGATCTGGCATCTTGTCTACAGTCACTTTCTCACAAACATGCCATCACTTCACTCTGTCTTTTCTACAAATCCTTTCATGGTAACTGCTCCAACAAGCTACTTTCTCTGGTTCCCAAAATGTGTGAATTTAAGCATGCTACTAGGTTGGCATCTCAGTCCCACCCTTTCACTGTCAAAACTGTTAAATGTAACTGTCTCTTCTACCCCAATAGCTTCATGTCTTGAACTCCTGTCTGTGGAACTCCCTTCCTTGTACTTGCTTCCCTGATTGCTATAATCTTCAATTATTCAAACGCAATATCAGTTGACATCTCCAAATGCCTTGATCTATTCCCCGTCCTTCTCTTTATCCTTTCCTCTATCATGCCTCTTTTCTCTTGCTCCCACTCTCTGTAACCCCTTGTGTGCTAGTGGCACTCCCACCTTGCTTGGGGTGAAATGCTTATAAAAAAAAAAAAGTAGTATTAGTGCGATTGCTATTCGAAGGCGCCTGACACCAACATTGTTCAACAAAGTACTATAGTTGTATCAGCAATTACAAAGTATCTACTGGGAGCCTTATGAAATTGACAGTGAATATTCGTTGACATCACAAAAATATGTTTTATGAAATATATTCATATTTAAAACTTTGGAATACTTTTTTGCTTTTAATACTTTTCTCACCCACCCTATTTATTATAAACAGCAAGTACTTCCAATCCAATAACTGTGACAGTGGCAGATTTTGAAGAGCCCTGAACTAGTTAGTTGTAAAAACATTTCTCTAGCAGAGAAAAGAAATAGTTTTCATTCTCAGAAATTGGCCAATTTTTAAATTAAATTTACATCATTTATCCATGAACAATTTCATATATACAAATATTGATTATATTAAATGTATAATAATTATCAGTTCAGGATAAAGAACTTATTAAATAGCAAGGCAGATTGAGCTCTCCAGTCATGGCTAGCAACCAGTCTTGGAGAAAAACAGCTCTCACATTAAAATTGTAGAGAAGCTACTCTGCTATCTTTCCCAAGAACAATCATAGCAGTATATATTTTACAGATATTATGGGCTTATGGCCACATCATATTGAAACACTGGTTCCTGTACAATCACCAAAGTTAAGCAACATCAAGCCTGGTCAGTACCTAGATAGATGACCACTTGGGAATATCAGGTGCTGTAAGCTTCTATGTGTGGGTGCTGTAATGGATAATGGCTTGGAATTGTTAATCAGAAAACCAAGTTCTAATTATATTCACTTATGTGCAAATACTCTTGGGAAAGGTATGAATCCACCTCATAGCCACAGCTATGGGTTAATTAGAAAGACTTGTATCACTAAACCATTATTACCCTGATCTATATCCTGAAGGGACATGGCACTATAAAAATATTACACCATTACTCTAAGAATTTATAAATATTATCACCACTCAGATTTTAACAGCTTAATTCTCAGGGATGGGGAAGGGGTCAGCTGAAATCTGTTAACTAACATTTTCTCACAGAGAGAGTTTAATCATATTTGACATGGGATATATCTGTTGACAGGCAGTTTTATGAAAACTTCATTGCCATTTACAGATGTTTTGCTGGGTAAAAGCTGTGATTTGATCCATTTATTTCTTCTTATTTTTTAATCAAAATTTACCCCAAGCAAGGCAATAAAGCTGCTAAGATACAAGGGGTTAATGGGTGTGAGAGATATAGAAAATAGAAACATTACTAAGGTGCGAGAACAATAGAAGAGTAATCAAAAAGACAATAGATAATGATTGACAAGATAACTTGAATGCATGGAGCCAAAAGAGAGTTCCATATGTGAGAAGTGCAAGAAAATAAATTTTTAGCATAGAACTTATGGTTACAACTAGCCATTTCAACTTTAAATTGATGAGACCTCATTGCCAACCTAGTACTGCACTTAAATTTGTAAGGTCTAGGTACTATAGCAAAGAGTCCATCTAAACAATTACCATTAAAGTATTTATAGAAAAGGCACAGGAAGCAACGTTACAGTGGTGGGAAAGTGACTGAAGCTGAGATGCCAGGTCAGGGTCAATAATATTGCTGATTTTTCTTTTGATTTTTATCAAGAATCTCTAAATATGTAGCAGGACATATATGACAGCAATATCCAAAACATGGACAAATGGTAGATTTATAGATATGTATGATAGATTCTGGAGAGGAAAATTGTCTAGCACGACACAGTGAACTAACTTTCCTAGCAGCAGATCTCGCAATGGATTCAATACAGTCCTTTCACTTCATGTCAGCCAAGAATGTTATTTATTTCTTTTTATATGTTTTTGAAATTGTTTCTGAATAGTACACAACTCTACACTTCAAGACAAATGTATTACACAACTGATAATATTTACTTTATACTTCTTCTGTGTGTTGTATCCATTTAGAATGTGGACAATAATGACTCTCCACAACTTCCTATCCTTTGTAGCTTTTAATAAAATTTATCTTTTTGTTATCTCTCCTAAACTTTGTTCTGCCATCCAACTTCACTAGGTAGGTTATGCATTGTTTTTCTTTGTCTTTCTTGCCTTCAGTAAGTCTTCTGTGTATAAAATTCTCCAAGCCCTCTTTCACCATTATGTGTCCTAGAAATTTTAGCTATTGTTTAATATCGTTGTTGGAAATTTTCAAGAAAAAAATTAAATGTAATTCACTTTCATCATATGTTTAGATTTTATTACAATTTTAATCATTGCATTTTAAAATATTAAACATAGCTGAAGTGGGAATGTGGTTAAAATAATAGTGGCATCAATGGAAAAACCATCCTTTTGACAATCCACTTTTTTTGTTGGCACAAATGTCCACATTTGCGTATTTCTCTTACCAATATTAGAAAGATTTTCTTTACTTTTACCCCTTTATAATAAACAAGGTCAGATTTTTTATATATGCATGTGGAAGATGTATGAAAGAGTCTTGAAAATTTCTCGGCTTGAAATAGAAGGAATTCAAGAAATATTTCTGGGGTTTAATCATTTGGTCAGATTTTGGTTAAGTGTGTCACGCCAAGATCTTTTCCAACCATCTTGGATATATGCAAAAAGGACATGTGGAGAGAAGGAAGGAAAGTGGTAGAAACAAAGAAAATGGTTGTTAAAGATCCAGGAGGTTTTTTTTTTTTTAACATTTAATTTTTTTTTTTTTTAAATTGAAGAAAAGTTTTAAAAATTAAAAGTCAGGAATTGAGCCCAATCATTATTCTTAAAATTCTTTATTTTGAATCATATCTAATTTCTGGATGACAGAATAATCTTTAACCTGATTTTAGTGAATGCTTTCTTCTGAAATGCTGTAAAAGATGAGAACAAAATTAAAGTTCTACAATGAGTGATTCAATTGGATTTTGAATAATCTCCTATGTTCCTCAGATTGTTGAAAAAGAAGCTTTTGTCAAAATTATGGCTTTGGATGTTAAAGAATGATAATTTGCTTTCAACTGGTGTCCTTGACTTGTTTTTACTACTAGGTATGAAACAATTTATTGTTTGCTGATTATTGTGGAACTTTCTCCTTTTTTTTCTTTTTTCTTTTTAAAGATTAGTGATCAGGTAATTTTCATACAGTTTTTTTCTTTTCTTAGCTTTCTTTCTATCCATTTCTATTTTTCATACTCTTCTTCATTTTGTTTTTAATTATTCTGCTTTCATGTATTTTTTTTTTCATTCTAATTTTTGATTATATTACTATCTTCAGTCTCGTAAGTTAGGTTTCAAGAAGCTTTATGAAATTTGCATTTCATCTCTAGGTTCTTAAGTTTACTACCTTAAACAAAAAATTAATTGAAGTATGACCCAAACAAAAATAAATACATAAAATAATAATATTTAGTGAAATAGCAATTAAGAAAAGTAAAGTAAAACTTTTTTTTTGATATTTTGAAGGGATGATTTGCAAACACGTTAATGATGAAACAGACCTGAATTAAAAGTGAAATAATTGCAGTGCATCAGATGACACTTAAATCACATGATCTTTTTAAGACTTATGTCATGTACAGATTCCCATAGGTAGAAATTAGGAATGTTTTTTTTCACTAAAAGTTATTTAAAAAATTTTTTTTAAAAATATTTGTGTACAAACGACTGTTATGAGCTTTGCAAATTTTGATTCGTAAATTTACTTTTCACTTAACAATATCACCAAACCACCGTCTTGAAAGCAATAAAGAATTTTAAACGATTTTTGAACTATTATATTATTATAATTAAAATTTTTAAGAAATGAAAAAATTCTTGTAAAAATTCATTATTCATCGAAAAAATTTTTCCATTTTTTACCATTTTCTTTAAGACTTCCATGGAATTCTCTGTAGAACCACATTTCTGTTGAATCCAGTTTTCTCTACATCTATGGGGTGGTTGTCCAGCATTCACTACCATATAAGTGAATTGGTACCATAGAGCAATCGAGGACTCTTTTCTTTGTTTCTAATGAAATTTTTCTGCTTCTCAAGTCCTCCCAAAAAGAAAACGGTAAACATATAAAAAAAAAAAAAAAAAAAAATTAAAAGGATTTCTAAGCTTTTCCTTGTCTGTCACATTCAATGAAATATAAGTGACTCCTTCTCTGTAAGTAAAATGTGAACCTCTGAATATCTGCTTATTGTATGAAACTTTTAATCATGGCAAAGTCATGTCTTTAGATATTTTCTGTGCTGTATTCCTGTTCTAATCTGGGTGTTTTTTGTTTTGTTTTTTTATTATCAAATTTCCTTATCTGGGCTGTGAAGTCTTTTATGCTCTCTGAAGTTAAGGTTAATTTCTTGCATGATTTTTTTTTATTGTTTTTTTTTTTTTCAAGTTATACAATAAGCTCAGTGAATAGAAATAATCATTTCTTTCAGTATTTTTCATATCACTATGGATTTGGCACTATTTTGAATATATATAAAAAAATAAAAAATTTGTACTAAATTTCTTTACTAAAGTCAATAATGTAAACCCATTTTGCAATGTAAATTTATTGTAAATTGATCACCCTATGGAAGCCAAAAGAAAATAGGCTCGTATAAAGATTTCTTAAAATTTAATTTTAAAATTTGTAATGTGGAGTTCTTTTTCATATATTATTATCAATTAAGCACTCCAGGTTACAAATTCTTAAAAAATGTTTATCTTTTTTTTATGTTTTAAGAAATCATGTTGCATGAGCATATTTGTTTTGGCATTCATGGGGGTTCAATTTACAATGAAATTATATAGCAAATTGGACCCTTCCCCTATTATAAAGCTCAAAGTATCAGGTCATCCCATAAGTTCTGTCCAAATTTTGAATAAAGAAAACAAGTGACCAAATGTTACATTTAATTACAGATTCAATCAACAATGTATTTTCCCTGATTATCTATGACTTCCTTCCATCTATTAACAAGCTTACTAATTCCATTACTGTAAAATTCTTTTGGCTTTGATTCAAAGAACTCACAAATGTCAGTTTTAACCTCTTCCTGTGTTACAAAAGCTGTTTCTTCCAAATGATTCTGTAAGTTACAAAACAAATGGTAGTCTGAAGGAGCAAGATCGGGAGAATAAGGTGGATGAGGAATTTCCTCCCAACCAAGTTCTTCGATCTTTTGTGACGTGATTCTTGCTGTGTCTGATCACACATTGTCCTGATGAAACATCACCTCTTTTTGATTCACTAGAGCAGGTCTTTTTTACCTCAAAGCTTGGTTCAAATGCTCTAATTGCTGACAGTATATTTGAGCATTAATTGTTGCATTAGGTTGTAAGAATTCAAAGTGGATTATTCCTTGGTGATCCCACCAGATTGAAAGAAGAACCTTTTGCCCATGAAGTTCCCTTCTCGGCTGTGGTTGGGGTCCTTCCCCTTTACCAAGCCACTGTCTAAGATACTTAACATTTTGATAAAAGATCCATTTTTCGTCGCCAGTCACAATTCTATCCAAAAAAGGTGAAAAAGTTGGCGAGAATGGAGCGAAGAGCAGATGTCAATTCGGGATTTGAGGCTGTTTTCAGACAATTCATGAGGCACCCATTTTCCAAGTTTAGGAACTTTTCCAAGTTGTTGAAGATGACGATGAACAGTTGTATGGTTTGAACTGAGAACCACTGCCAATTCCTCAACTGATAAAGCAGGATTCGTCTGGTTTGATCTTCATCTTCAAGGGTGAAATCTCCACCTCTGA